CTGGAAGCACCAGCCTAGAAGGCAGTGCCCGAAAGTAAGGCCCTTAAGAAAATCGAAACATGTTAAAAGGTTACCCTCAGCAAAAAAGTCGTCTAAAAACACTTAAACATCTTAAAGGTCTTCGGCTTTACTAAAGAATCAAAGCCACAAGTAATCTGAAATAGACTGAAAAGTCGGGCTCCGCTCGAACCTCCGAAAAATGGATGCTCTAGACTACATCTGATTTTATTCTAAGGCATTAAAAATAATACGCAAATAGAAAATTGCAAGTAGATGCTGGAAAGGTAAAAACATATTTCCGAAAAGGGAAAAAATTTTATATATTCAAAAAAATATTTACAAAGGCACGATAAAACGGCCTCGAAATAAACAAAAAAGAAAATACACAAGGAAAAACTAAAAAAGGACTAAGGCATTTACATCTGGTCTTCACCGGGGCCCGACTCGTCACCAGAACCATCGGAACCATTGGATACATCGGAGCCTTCGGGACCCTCCAGCTCATAGAGTTCCTTTGTGATGTGATTCTTCAAGTAAACAAAGAACCAACCGACCAGAACCAAGATCTTGAAACGAAAATGATGTTTGTGGGCTGGTTTCAAGAAACAGCGTATCTCAAGTTTTAGCACTCGGAATATGATGATTCAAAAATGAGGTGAAAGATGACAATTTGAACTATAAGAAAGACTATTTACACTATCAAAACAAGTAAATATTAGCGCTTATATATTTATTTTAGGTCCAATATTGTTATTTTGGTTATTTTAAACTTCTTTGCTTTATTTTATCTTAAAAACTAAAAAAATCGACAAAAATATTTTCATCTTTAGTTTAAAGTATATTTGTATATTTATATTTATAGTATTTTAAATTTATCGTGACTTTAGCCTATTTTTCTACTTTTTATTTTGTTATAACATTTGAAAATACAAAAATAGTTTCACTTTTAGTATTTAGTTTTATTTTAGTAGTTTATTTTAATTAAGAGTGATTTTGATATTTTTATAGATACATTATATTATTTGGTCTTCTTAGCCTAAATTTAAACCCAAAAGACATGGACCCAACCCAATTTCCTAAATCCAAGCCCATTTACTCATTCCCCTCTTAGATTAATTTAAAAAAAAAAAAACTAAGAGACAAAAGGACCCCCATCAGCTTCTTCTTCTTGAACCCCTAAAGATCCCTAACCCTAGACCACCCTTCCAACCATCACTCCACTCAAACAACACAGCTCTCACCTTCAACCTACACCACCAAATCGCCGACTACACCCACTTCAGCCATCAGCGATCATCCCGTCTTCACCTTAGAACCGCCGCCGGAGCACCACCTCCCTTCTTCAAAACTAGCTGCACCCATCGCCACTTCTTCTTCTTCCCTTCTTCACCCCACAGTAATCAGACGCTTCCCACACCAAAAACCCCTGTCACACGCCTGGACATAACAAACACCAAAACAGGGCAAGAACCCCATTAACGACCAACGAACGAGAGGGATAAGCCGCATCGCCTAAAAGAGGAGAACGAAATCGATGGAAATTCTGGGGTTTTCCTCTTCTTTATAATTTTCCTTCACTTGATTTAAAGGGCAGTGAGGAACATATCTACAGTAGACAATAGCCAAAGCAACTGAATCAACTTCAAGTGTTTCACTATTGACAAGTTCACCAGTGCTACGTTTAAACTTTTTAATTCCATTTTCATGAGGATGGAGTCCTATTCGTTTGATCTCCGGTTCCAGCCGCCGATTCAAGGTTCGTCCACAGTTCGTCGCGTTTTTGAGTTCAACGCCGCCTCACAATTAATTTTCAGATTCATTTGAGGTTGATTTCTTCTTTCTTCTATTCTGTTTTGCTTAATTAATGTCATGATTCCATCGTTTCCTTAGTCTATCCTTGCTTTGTTTCGTGGATGCTATGAGTTAGCATAGGATTGCTCTATTTTGAGTGCCTTGGTGATATTTGTTACGCATTTTGCTGCTGCTCATTTGTTTGTATGTTGTTTGGCGAATCTGTTTGGATAAGTTTGATGTTTAGAATGAGTTTCAATCGCCTATTTCAATTATTCATTAAGAGATAGATGTTTAAGGCATTTTGACTAATATTTTGGTAACTCCAGAATTAAATCAACTTATTAATTGAATTGGGTTAAAACAAGTATTAGGTCGTGGGGTTTGGACACTTAACTCGAAACAGAAATTAGAAGAATGTTTTGTTTAGTTTTATTTTTATTGCTTCAATCGCTAGTAGCATGTGAAGGCCTACCACACCCGGGTAGGCAAATCTTAGGCTTTCTTTATTTCATTTTTGAGGCGAGAGGTCGTTTCTTTTTGTTTATTATCCGGGGAATGCCCCACTAAGTTTGTATATATTTTTATCCGGGGTATGCCCCGAAGTATTTGTATTTGGAGGCCGAAGTAGAACTCGTAGTATTTCTATTTTCATTATCTTTATTTTTCTTTTATTAGGTGGGGACGCCCTTGAGCCTCTTGTGTGTTTATTTTTTTTTTTCTATTTTTTTACCTCAATTTGAATATTTTAAAAGCCAACTAGATCGAGTAAGCAACCGTGATTTTTACGGGACTCGGAGAATGCCTAACACCTTCTCCCCGAGTCAAATGAACTCCCTTATCTAGAACTCTGGTGCAAACTAGTTTAAGAGTCACATGTGTTTTGAAGGAAAATTATTATTTAAAAAATGGTGACCTGGCACACCGAAACCAAATGTCAGGTGGCGACTCTGAAAATCCTTCGAAACGCAATCTTTTTGTCACTTTCAAATTTGAAAACACTTTTGAGTTTTACAAATCTTTTTTATTTATTTTTAAGACGGTTAGTGAGGTTAAAAAAGGGGTGTGACAGCTCTGACGATTCTGATGGGGAGTTGCAGGTTCGAGCTGATACTTGATCTTGTTGGCTGTTAGGATATTCGATTGAGGTGTTTGTTTTATTTATTTGCTTTGTTTATTTAGTTTGTTTGTCTTATTTCCTGTTTTATTGGTTATTTTTTTATCGCTTTTCTTTATGTGTTTACTGCTTTATAACTGTCATCATATGCATTACCCGGTCAATTCTTTTTGCAACAAGTCTCGGAGTACGCGTCTTGCACATTAACTCTTTGTTGAGTCACCCTTATTTTAAGAGGGGGGCCATTGGACGTATGGAGTGGGTGGAAAGCTTGAGCAGCCACCATCGACCATACGCTTCCCCGAATTGCCTTGTCAGTGAACCCCAAACTTAGGTCAGCCTTTAGGTTATTTTTATTTGCATCATATCATTATGACCCAGCAGTGCCGGTCCCAGGCACCGTGTCCTTTTATAGGTGGCATATCCAAATTTTGTCAAAATAGGCCTGTGGCCCAAAACGACATTCAATCATTCCTATGTTATACATATTGCATCTTTGGGGGTTGAAAAGTTATTTGGCGGACTGATATTTGGGAAAGAGGGTGAAATGTAAAAATGAAGCAAGTAGAGCCTAGTTATGATTTTCTTTCACAACTTTTTCAAGAAAAAGACAAAAAAAATGAAAATAAAAAATTCAAAAAGATTTTGCACTTTCCCATCATTTTCCAAAATATATCAAAAAAAATCCAAAAAGATTTTACATGTTTCATCATTTTTCAAAAAAAGACAAAAAATATGTTTTCTTCATATTAGTGTTTTTTAAATTCTCTCCCGTATTCAATCTTCCCGAACTACGCATACCTGATTCTCGTCTTTCGGGGCGGGATACGTAGGCAGCCCACATAGGGTCCGGTCTTCCTAGTGAGTCTTAGGTTCTTCGCTTCGCGGGGTCTTAGCCAAATTTTGCCTATCTAGCCACTTTTGGCCACATCGGCCATTCTTGCAAAATGGGATCTTTCGCAAAACTGGTTCAATGACCCATGTCTTAGGATCTTGAGTCCACAACTAGGTGTCATATTACTATAAGGTCCGTCCTTTTTGAGTTTGCATCTTTAGCCACTTCTGGCCATATCGGTCGTTTTTACAAAATGGGTCATTTCTGCAAATTAATTTTGGGCCATGATTATTGGGAGTTTGAATCCATATAAGCCTTAGTGAGATATTTCCATGTCTTTGAGGTCACCTTTGTTTAGTTTGCACTTCTAGCCACTCTTGGCCACGTAGGTCATTTTGCAAAAATAGCCCAATCATGTTTTGCATGTGTCTAATAGGAGATGTTGTGGCGTAGTATAGTGTCTCGAGTCAGTAATCTATTTGGTCTTATTTTTGTCATTCAGGTATTGATTCATTTACCAGTGCTCGAGCATGACAAATACCCCAGGACTATTCCAGTCAGGATTGTTGCATACATGAGATGCTTGAGGATACTTTTTATGTTTTGAGTTTGTCATTCATGTTGTCTTTTACTTTCTAGTCTTGTACAGTAGTATCAAGTCTTTTAGGTGGTATCACAGTTTGTCGTAATCTAGTTCAGTTTGTTGAATCTTTTGTTATCATACTTCCTATGATGTATTCGAAAATCAAAAAAAATATTATTGAAAAACCCAAAAATATTTTTTATTTTTAGTTTATTTTATCCATCACTTTTCCAGAACTACGCTTGATCTGATTCTTGAGGGACATGATACGTAGGCAACCTACATAGGGTTCGATTGAATCATTATTAAAAAAAAGGTGAATGAAGTTATGCGACGCGAGGTATGAGAGAAAGAAAATAGTGGCAATTAAAAAGAAAAGAGAGGAAGGAAAATGAGCAAGCCAAGAAGTGCTAGAAAAGAGAAGACTGAAATGAACAAAATTGGGATGATGCCAAATGACCTTGTGACCCTCGAAATCATTCTAGAACCGTTAATTGTTGCTAGGGGCGTTGCACACAATGTGATATTTCTATCTGATAAATGCCCTAACGCTAACATGTTGGCTTTGTTTTTCTCCTCTTTGTTACTTTCATTATTATCATAACAGAGGGTGGTTAGTTTGTGGCTCTTTGGCGATTCGTCCGTACAACACAAGGTCAAAGAGCAAGGTAGACATGGCTAGCAAAGACTTGGACACAGGTGTTGTTGATTCGTCTAAGGAGATTGTTGAATCAGAATCTGAACTTAAACAGGAGGTCCAAAGGTTGAAACATCAAATGGCGGAATGTATTAGGCCTGGATTAAGGGACATCCTCCACCTTCATTCCCTACCAACTATACAGAAAACCATGCCTCCATTCCACTGTTGTCCCAAGCCCAGATGCCCAATACCGTTGATCTTTCCCCTCAAAACGCCTCGGTCTTCACCCTTTACAACTCCTACCCCGGCACTTCGTCCCAAATTTTCCATGCTCCACCGGCCAAAACAACCTCATACCTTGCTCCGACATCTACTCCTATTTTTGTACCCCCGTCCACAAGCTATTCTCCATTGATCCTCTTGTGAGCCTGCATTCTAAGCTCCAGATACCCAATATTATGCCCTGGAACCATCCTTCAAAGTTCCAGATCCTTACTCCTACACTCCTCACTTTGAGCCTCATGTTGAAACTAAGAAACCATCCAAGAACGTGGAGCAAGATGAGATATTTAGGAAAGTAAAGATTCTGGAGCAATCATTAAGAAATATGCAAGGGTTAGGAAGCCAGGTGAGTGTGGCTTATAAGGATTTGTGTTTGTTCCCTGATGTCCAACGGTTTGCTGTGTTCAAGATGCCCAAGTTTGACTTGTATGACGGACATGGAGATTTTATAGCTTATCTGAGAGGTTATTGTAGTAAGATGAGAGGTGTTGGTGGTAAGGACGAATTATTAATGGCATATGCCAGAGTCTGAGTGGGGCGGCTCTAGAATGGTACACCTGCCAGGACGTCAGCAGGTGGTACACATGGGACGATTTGGCTCAGGCTTTTGCTTGGCATTTTCAGTACAACAAAGACATTATCCCGGATCGCCTATCCCTCACCAAAATGGAAAAGAGGCCTAATGAAAGCTTTAGGGAATACGGGCTCAGATGGAGAGAGCAACCTGCCCGAGTCAATCCCTCGATTGAAGAAGCCGAGATGGTTGAGTACTTTCTTCAGGCTCAAGAGCCTACTTACTTTGGGCATTTGATATCCGGTTTGGGTAAGCCTTTTAATGATGTGGTAAAAATGGGAGAAATGGTAGAATATGGGCTAAAGTCAAGCAAGATCATGAGTTATTCTGCCTTAAAATCCACAACACAGGCAATTCGGAACGACACAGGAAGCTAGCCGGGTCAAAAGAAACATGATGATGTTGCCATGGTTGTCTCAGGATCACGACATGGCCCAACGGGTCTGCCTCACCAATATACTCAGCCTCGAACCCAACCCCAACCCCAAACCTATCCCCAAGCTCTACATAATCCACCTCAGTATTATCCTCCGAACAACGTCCAATCATTTGTTCAACCACTGGATCACTCCTTATGGCGAGCACCAGCACCGTATAATACTCTTTCGCCTTCACAACATTTTCGAGCACCTAACAACCCTAGGAAACAGGGGCATAGAGGAGAATAAAGGCAAAGAAATAGTTTCACACCAATCATAGAATCCTAAACAAGCTTGTTTGAAAAGTTAAAATAGTCTGGCCTGATTGAGCCGCTCCTCGGCTATACTTCGGACCCATATGCAAAAGGTTTTGATCCTACTGTACGGTGCATGTACCACTCTAATGTCCAAGGGTATAGCATTGAAGATTTTCGTGCTTTGAAAAGGGAGATAGAAAGAATGATTCAAGAAGGGATAATTGTGGTCTAGGACAGTGACACCCAGAATATCGCACAGAATCCTTTACCTGCACATGATTATGCACACTTTGTGGGGAAGATGCATGGTGACAGAGAGTATGAGAATCCTCATGGGAACTTGTTGACTGAAGTTAATGATATTGGAATTGGCAAAGGTCCCAGTAATTTTGATGTGCAACCCAGTGGCTAAGATGTCGAGCTTGGTAATTGGAAAGACACTCCTTTCTTAGCTAGCCAGGGAGGAGTTTTGGTGGTTTATTTTGTTGTCATTTTGGTTTTCTGGGTTATTTCAGGGTTGTAATCCGGATATTGTCTTGTGGCTCAAACCCTTCTTCTTTTTATTTTGCCTAATTCATTTAGTTGTAGTATTTCATCTAGTGTTATCTAGGATTGTTCCACGGTTGTAACCCATGTCTATTTTGGTTGTTTTGTTCAAACCCTTTTCACCATCTGTCTAATGCAATCTCCTATTTTCTGTTAGTTCTAGTCAGTTTTTGTTTAGGTCACTTTTCCTTTTATAGTTCTTTTCATGCTAACACTAGTGACATGACATGCACGCATAATTCTCAGCCTGGTCTTGAAAGTTAGTCTAATCATGAAGCAATGACACAGTTTTGAATATGATAAAAGGATGCATTTGAGGAAACAAGTAAATATTCACGCATTCTAAGATAACCTGAAGCTTGAATTGAGTGAAACTGAGGCAGTTAGTTTGGAAAATCAAGAGGTTGATAGGAGCATACAACAAGGAAATGTCTCTCAAGCAGTTTGAGGTAGATCAGTCAGTGCTGAAATGCATTCTTTCACACCAAGATAAGGTTGAGTCAAGTCTGCTTCGAATTGGCAATGGTCATTTATTGGGACAAAGGTATCGCCCATTGGCACTTTTGTTTGTGTTGATGACATCAATAGATACTATGTTTGATTTCTTTGTTTATCTTCAATTGCATGTTTGTACTTGGCATTTTTAAAGTTTGGTATGACGAAGGCATTTTATTCTACTGCTTAAACACTTTTATCTTTTGCTACCTCTTTTGAGCCTTAATTTGTTTTGTTCCATACCCCTCTTTTGGAATCAGAAGTAGAGTTAGGAACTAGAAAAAAAAAAGAGAAAAGGAAGAAAAAGAAAAGAAAAGAGAAAAAGAAGAAAAAGAAAAGAAAACAAGAAGAAAAAGAAAGAAAAGGAAAAGAAAAACAACAAAAAAAGTAACTATGCTTAAACTATGTTCGACCTGATTCTTGTCACCTCAAGATACGTAGGCAGCCTTACGGTTCGGTCACACCAAATAAAATATTTCATAATCCCCCGAAGTCAAGAGTGGGGCAGATTTTCTTAGAAATCCCATTAAAACAAAAAAAAATCCCCAAACTCCAAGAAACTGGGACAGAAGTTTTAATTTTGCCAAAAGATCTTATTCCAAAAGTTGTAATTTTGAACCCTTTCATCTTAAATTATTTTAAGCCTTCATGCCACCCTTTTTTTCCAACCCTGTCCAAAAGCATACATTACGGTCCAAACAAAGACCTCGCGACCAATCTTTGAGGATGCCAAGTCAAGTGTGTGGTGAAAGTATGATCTTCTTGTATCATGGGTAATACCTTGTTCTTGGCACAAAGAGAGAAACTGATAAAATGAGAGAGTCTTATCGGTGAAAACCCTCATGGGCACCGTAAGGCGACGGTGAGTTGAGAAAAAGAGCAAAATGAGAGAGGCTTGATGGTCAAAATCCTTCAAGGCACTACAAGTCGACTGAGGATCGTGGATCAAATAGGACAATTGGAGTGTTGAAGCCTAGTTTCACAACTTAGAGGCATAACAAGAGTTGAAGATTAGACTCTTCTGACAGATTAGGCCGCTTAATCCAAAATACATGTCATGGTCAGTGGAGATGGCCTTCAAATTAGATTAGTTTCTACTTTGTTCTTTTTCCTGGGTAAAAATGTTTTCTTGTTAGATACCATCTCTTCTCGTTTTTCTCCTTATTTTGTTCCTCTTGTTTTGTTTGAATCCCTTTTGAGTCTATTTTTGTCGAAACAAATGAGAAATGACTTCAAAATCTGCTACCAGCTTTTTAATCACACAAAATCGAGTCTGGAAAGCACATCAAATTGGCATAAGAAACAGGAGAATAATGTGTGCACTGAGTTGGTGATAATAGATGTTCTTTGGGATTGATGTAAAATGCAAAGATTTGGTGAATGTTAGAACACGAGTGCAATGCATCAGGCATAAGGTATTAGACATGAACGAATCATGAAAATTTCTTGTGATAAGGGTTGTTCGGAAAAATGGTTGACCGATAACAAGCACTGTCTCCCAAGTTGAAGTCCAAGTTGATCATGACAAGTGCAAGAGAAATTGCCCTCGTAATCAAGGCCACAAACTAACCACCATGTTTTAAACTCACAAGTTTTCTTTGTCTGAAACAGGGATGAAAGCTATGTTCATATCAAAGCTTGAATTTTCAGGTGTAATGCCNTGTTTTACGGAGACACACTTTCTAAATTGAGATTCCACCCCTAGGAGATGCACTTCCTAGTTTGGGTCATTTAAGTTCATTCCTAGGAGACGCACTTCCTAGTTTGAGTCATTGAAGTTTCACCCCTAGGAGATGCACTTCCTAGTCTGGGTTTTTCAGCTTACACTGTTTAGGAGACAACTTCCTAAATTGAGATTTTACCCCTAGGAGACACACTTCCTAGTTTGGGTCATTTAAGTTCATCCCTAGGAGACGCACTTCCTAGTTTGAGTCATTGATTTTATCCCTAGGAGATGCACTTTCTAATTTGGGTCATTTAAGTTCATTCCTAGGAGACGCACTTCCTAGTTTGAGTCATTTAAGTTCATCCCTAGGAGACGCACTTCCTAGTTTGAGTCATTGATTTTACCCCTAGGAGACGCACTTCCTAGTTTGAGTCATTTAAGTTTATCCCTAGGAGACGCACTTCCTAGTTTGGGTCATTAAAGGTTTACCCCTAGGAGACGCACTTCCTAGTTTGGGTCTTTCAGGTTATATTTTTATTTTAGGAGACGCACTTCCTAAATTGAGATTTTACCCCTTGGAGACGCACTTCCTAGTTTTGGGTCATTTAAGTTCATTCCTAGGAGATGCACTTTCTAGTTTGAGTCATTGAAGTTTCACCCCTAGGAGACGCACTTCCTAGTCTGGGTTTTTCAGTTATACTGTTTAGGAGACGCACTTCCTAAATTGAGATTTTTACCCCTAGGAGATGCACTTCCTAGTTTTAGTTCATTCAAGTTTCACCCATAGGAGACGCACTTCCTAGTTTAAGTCAGTCGAGTTTTACCCCTAGGAGACGCACTTCCTAGTTTGGTTCATTCAAGTTTCATCCCTAGGAGACACACTTCCTAGTTTGAGTCATTAGATTTTTATCCTTAGGAGACGCACTTCTTAGTTTGGTTCATTTAAGTTTCATCCCTAGGAGACGCACTTCCTAGTTTGAGTCGTTTGAGTTCATCCCTAGGAGATGCACATCCTAGTCGAGTCTTTAGTTTTACTTTCATCATTGCATCTATAGCATAGGTGACTTAAAGTTTTGCTAACAACTCAGAAATCTTCCTAGTGCAGACTAGGGCAGAAAATTTTGTTTGTTTTGTTGTTTTGATTGCAGGCGCCCACCTGGAGAACGAGGGAGTTCTTTTCAGAGTTACTTCAAATTTCAAGTCAGTAGCAGGCGCCCACCTAGAGAACGAGGAAAGTCATTTCAGAATTCATGAATTAGAAGTGGCAGAAGCTCACCTCAAGAATGCGAGTCAACAGTCCGAGATGACCAAGAGAACAAGTCTCAATCCAAAAAAAAAAGAGAGAGAGAGAGAGAAGAAGAAGAAGTAAATCCAAATGCAGAAGCAGATGAAAGATGTGAACTGCTCAAGACATGGTTGAAGTTACGAGCACTGCATGTCCGGTCTTGATTCGAAGAAGTAGTGGAAGAATGAATCAGCACCTGCAGCTAGCAAGCATCAAGGTTCAACTCAAAAGTCTGCATGAAGAACCATTCAAGACTCAAGATCAAGTTTCAGTGGACTTATAGATAGGATCTTGTAACTCATAGCTGATAGGCTTGCTTAGTTCTTTTAGATTTTGATTTGATGTAATAACCGGATCGCGGACCGGAACCTCGACGGCACTCCAAGCGGCTCTCCACCTCAGTATACTACTTCGCTTTACTCACTTCTGAACTACACGTGGCCTGATTCATTTATAGCCAAGGATATGTAGGTAGCTCAGATACCAGGGCTCGGTCACATTCTCCTTTCTTTTAGTTTTTGGTCTCTCTACATAAGGGTCGGGTCAAAAAACCCTCGTCGTTCTTTGTCTGAAAACTATTCGTGTTTCCAGTCAAAGAGGGGCAGCTGTAGACATGTAATTTTTTACCCTCCCGAGATTTTACACATTTTAGCTTTTATATATTTATTTTAGGTCCAATATTTTTATTTTGGTTATTTTAAACTTCTTTGCTTTATTTTATCTTAAAAACTAAAAAAAACTACAAAAATATTTTCATCTTTAGTTTAAAGTATATTAGTATATTTATATTTATAGTATTTTAAATTTACCGTGACTTAAGTCTATTTTTCCCACTTTTTACTTTATTATAACATTTGAAAATACAAAAATAGTTTCACTTTTAGTATTTAGTTTTATTTTAGTAGTTTATTCTAATTAAGAGTGATTTTGATATTTTTATAGATATATTATATTATTTGGTCTTCTTAGCCTAAATTTAAACCCAAAAGACATGGACCCAACCCAATTTCCTAAATTCAAGCCCATTTACCCATTCCCGTCTTAGATTAATTAAAAAAACCTAAGAGACAAAAGAAGGACCCCCATCAGCTTCTTCTTCTTGAACCGCTAAAGATCCCAAACCCTAGACCACCCTTCCAGCCGTCACTCCACTCAAACAACACGGCCGTCACCTTTAACCGACACCACCAAATCGCCGACCACACCCCACTTCAGCTATCAGCAACCATCCCGTCTTCACCTTAGAACCGCCGGCGGAGCACCACCTCCCTTCTTCAAAACTAGTTGCCACCCATCGCCACTTCTTCTTCTTTCCTTCTTCACCCCACAGTAATCAGCCACTTCCCACACCAAAAACCCCTGTCACACGCCTGGACATAACAAACACCAAAACAGGGCAAGAACCCCATTAACGACCAGC